TGACCTTTGTTACAATTTAATTATAATATTTTTTAGTTATACTTTAATTTCAATGTTCTATATTTATTTTAAATATCTAATCTTTTACATTTTATTACAAATATATACATATTTTGAATATTTTAAAAAATATTTTTTTAAAAAAATAATTAAATTAATAATAAGAATAATAATAATAATAAAACATAATATTTTATTAATTTAATTAATTATCAAAATTGTTTGTAAAATTATTTTTAAAATATCTACATATAATTTTAACTATTTTAAATAAACTATAATTAAATTGAGCATTTGAAATAAATAAAAATATCATATATTAAATTGTAATTGGAAAAAAAAATATCATAAAGCTAAAATCAATATTAGAACTCTAAGCTAATCCTATATTCAATTAATTTAAAATGTTATGATAAATAATTTACTAACAAGTGTGACTATAAATTTATCAAAATATAATAAAAATTAGTTAATTATTACTCCAATATATAATTATTTTTAAAATAACAATAAAAAGTAATAAAAAACTTCAAATTTTTTGGATAAAATAGATTTTTTAAAAAAAAATTAAGTGAGCAAAAATTATTATTTTTCTCTAGAACTTGAGAGGATAAGCCAACCGATTTTGAAGGTAAAACCAGGGGCTTCAAATTGAAATCCTACCAACATTATTATCTTTCCTTCATATAATCTTTTCTATTTTCTACTCTTTGTCAATTCCCTAATCAATCCTATTTATATGTTAATTGACAAATTTTATTTAAAAAATAATGTGTGTGTATATATATATATATATATATATATATAATCTCATTATTAACAATATATTTATTTATTTCACTACCTTTATTGATCAATAATTTCATGTTAACAATACAAAAATATTATTAGTATCGAATAGCATACACAATAATTTTTTCAAAATATATTAGTATTTTTTGCCGCACGCGAAATATTATTTTAACAATATTTTAATCAAATTATTTCACTTTTAATTAAGTAATTAGTAGACTTTCTAATTAAATTTTAATTTATGTTGCTTGAAATTTTATTAAATTGTTTATAAATTTTTTTTAAAAAAAAAGGGGAAGAAAACCAAATTATAATTTGTATTAAAGTCATTTGTCATGAACTTAAAAGATGGGATTAATAGTAAAAAGTTTTTAATAATGAGAAAAGGAGGATTAAAATTTAATTATAGAAAGTAATTAATATAACAACTTCTTTTAGTTATGTGGTTGATTTTTTGTTGTCTTTCATTTTCAATCTCATTCAAGAGGCTATATTTACACCTTATGATCCCAAAAAAGGTTGATACCATAAGAGTGGTGCCCTCTTCATGAAGCAAGTAGGAATTAATACATGGGATAGAAAAAATAAACAAAACCGAAATGCAAATAACTATAATGGAGAAACTACCTATATATATAATATTATTATTTTAAATATAATGTAATATATATATTAGTTTACACTAAACAAGAATTAACAATAATACTTTTATTATTATGCAATATTGTTATTGAATATTTTTTTTGTACGAGCCAGAACTTACCCAATAAAATTTGTTATTATTTTTAAATCGTTATAGTTATGATCATCATTTACTAAAACTTTGATTGTCAGTTGTTCTGTCATCAAATTATAAATTTTGATTTGTATATTTAAAAATTTTGATTTGTATATCAAATTTCGGTACTGGTAGACATTAGTCTTTATACGTAGAATTATGATTTTGTATATTTAAAAATTATTAGAATATGTGTAAAGATTCATAATTTAAAAGGAAATAAAGTCATAAATTAAATGCGAAAACGAAATAATAGAGTGTAGGGTTCACATTCCTTACACAATAATTTAGAATACCCAATAGGCATACGGGAATGTCAATTCTAAAAAAACAATAAAAATTAAAGAAATAAACAAAAGACAAATAACTGAGTATTATAGGACGACCTTAAATAGCTTTTGAAGGGAGTCTGGGTGGTGAACTATTCACAACCCCCTTGCTGATCAGAATTTGGTATTGTTCTTCTTGATCTGAAATACTTAATAAAAGGGTGAGTTACATTAACCCAATAAAAATATCACACTACTCACCAATACAGAAACTAAAAATTAGTAAAAATCATAAAAATAACAAATGAAGTTCTTGATTTAAGTAAATTCATTTATCATAAGGAAAAACCATTTATTGCATATATTTACTGTTGCAATATTTTCAAAATCGACCTATAGATATACAATAGTTCAAATAACATTTCAATCTCATTTTCAAGTGAGTAATATTAACTACTCTTCCTTTTATTTGCCAATTGGTATCCCTAA